TCTTTGCTACTAGAGCAAAAGTCTCCAAGTAGTCTATACCATAAGTTTGAGTAAATCCCTTTGCAACTAACCGGGCCTTATACCTTTCAATGGAACCATCAACATTATGTTTCATAGTAAATACCCATCTACATCCAACCGGTTTCTTCCCTTTAGGCTGGTCGACTAGCTCCCAAGTATTATTCCTCAGAAGAGCATCCATTTCAACCTTCATTGCATCTTTCCACTCAGGAATTGGCAAGGCTTCTTGCACTGTTCTAGGGATAGGAATATTAGCAATGGATGTGAGAAATGACCTGTAAGAGGGGGACAGGCGATCATAGGACAGGAACTGGGAAATGCAATGTGCTGTGGATGTGGTGCAACGCCTTTTGTCTTTGTGGACTGCAATATGGAGGCCAAGGTCATCCAAAGGAGGTAAGGGTGCAACAGTGGAAGGTATCTCAGTGGGATCTGGATCTGATAATGGGACTGTAGTACCTGGATTTGGATCCGTAGAAGGAACTGGGGCTAGCCTGGATTGTTGATACTGATGACCGAAATCAACCTGCCTCCACCACTTGTGATAAACTCTCAAATCCTGACACCTCTAACAACCCTCCCCATTACATCCCTCATCACTCAATGGAACAGTTTAAGGAACTTCTGATGAGTTAACCCCACTCTCACTACTCTCCCCCCGAGGAGAAACCCTAGGATAATAGGGTACCTCAAAGAAAGTAACATCCATCGAGACAAATCTCCTCCCAGAAGTAGGTTCATAGTAGCAATAACCCTTTTGAGTTTGTGTATAACCGAGAAAAATACATTTGGAGGCCTTAGAATCAAATTTGGAACGATGAGATCCAAGAATCTGAACAAAGCAAGTGCAACCAAAGCTTTTAAGGGGAGTAGTAAACAATTCTTTATCGGGGTATAGGAGGGTAGACCTGTTCATGGGCCGGGCCGGGCCGGGCTCGTGCCGGACTTTTACTCTTCATTAATGAAAATTTGTTAGGCCCGAGCCCGAGCCCGGCCTGACCAACGGGCCTACAACTTGGGCCCGAGCCCGGCCCAGATAAAAAGCCCGAGCCCGAGCTCGAAGCCCGATTGCGTCCGCCGATGATTGTGTTCGCCAGAACTGAGTTCGCGGTGACTGTGGTCTGTGAGCTGCGAGCTTGCGACCTGCGATTTTAAGTTTAACAGTGATCAGTTCGCATCAGAGAGAGAGAGAGAGAGAGAGAGAACTCTCTGCCACAGCCGGTGCCTATATTCGCCGTCTCGCCGTCGCTGGTGACTGAGATTTGAAGGAGAAGTGAGATTTGAGAAGAGGAACGAGAGAGAGAGAGAGAGAGAGAGAGAGAGAGAGAGAGAGAGGAGTGAGGACTCACTGCCGGAGTTGTTGCACCGGTGAACGTTTGCTGCCTCGCCGGTTGTGTGGCTGCTTGAGAGTGTGAGGATGAGAAGTTGAGAACTGTGGAGGATGTGGAGATTGGAGAAGAATGGTTCGGCTGGAAAAAGAAAGGAAAGAGGCAAAGAGGTGAAAAAAAGAGGGGGTCTTCAACTAGGGTTTTTAGGTTTAGTTATAGGTCGGGCCGGGCCGGGCCGGGCTATTTTGGAAAATCCCGAGCCCGACTCGAATTTATTGCGGGCCGGGCTTTTTGGCCCGAGGTTAAGCCCGCAGGCCCATATGTGTGTTCAAGCCCGTCCGTGGGCCGGGCCGGCCCGTCGGGCCACCCGACCCATGGATAGGTCTATAGGAGGGTAAATGGAGGCTTCGTGTCAAGAACCCGTGAAGGAACTCGATTAATGAGATACACTTTTGTAAGAATAGCATCTCCCCAGAAACGAATAGGCACATTGGAGTTAAACATAATGCTTCTAGCCACCTCCAATATGTGCCTATTCTTCCTCTCAGCAACCCCATTCTGCTGTGGTGTATAAGGACAAGTACTTTGGTGAATAATCCCATGATCAAGAAAATAAGAGGCTAATGAGTTGGTAAAGTATTCTTTCGCATTATCGGATTTGAATATTTTGATTTTGACCCCAAACTGGTTAAAATCATCTGATGAAAGATCTGGGTCAAAGCAGGAACCTCATCTCGAGAACGCATAAGGTAAACCCAAGAAAAACGGGTATAGTCATCAACAAACAACAAGAAATATCTGTATCCCCCCATAGCAGTGATGTGATACGGGCCCCAAACATCGGGATGCACAATATCAAAAGAATTACTACTTCTTTTATTACTCAATGAATAAGATGCTCTACAATGCTTTGCAAGCTCACAACTCTCATATCTCAATTTGGACATCTCAACAGACTCAAATAAATTTGGAAACAAACTCTTCAAAGACCGAAAGGATAAATGACCCAACCGATTATGCCAAAGCATAACCTGACTAACAGACTGAGAAATAGTGATGGCAAGCCAGTCATATGGTCAGATGCATCTGAGTCTATTACCCAACAATGTTCAATGTTACTTGGAGTTGAAGCATGATAAGCTGAGGCCCGAGTACCTGAACGAGCAAAGGCTGATGTGGGAGGAGCTGATGGCGGCTGAGATGATTGAGCTGAATTCCCAACTTCTTTTTCCAACTGAGTCAGGGCAGCCCAGACAGCAGATAGGGTGTCTAGAGGCATGCCTTTTGTGCCCGATGAGGATGCACCATCAGTATTAACAGCCATATTAGCATTACCCCTTTTGTTCCTGAGTTTTGCTGGAACTAGATGAGGGTGCAGCTTCCAACATGTGTCTTTAGTATGCTTAGGTTTCTTGCAATGTTCACACACTAGATCCCGCTTATCTTCCTTCTTTATGTCCCTCTCCGTATCACCCCCAGACTTAGGTTTAACTACTGCCAAGGCTGGTGGGAAGGGTTGATGCTGCATCATAACCTTTTTCCTAGTCTCTTCACTATGCACTAAGGAGTAGGCTTGAGATAAAGTCACACTATCTCTTGTTAGTAGTTGTTGTCTCACAATACCATATTCAGGATTCAAACCAGGTAGGAATTCAAAAACCCTATTAGTTTCAACTTGCTTTCTATAAGTTTGTGCATCCTTCTGACTTTCCCACTCAAGTGTTTCTAAGTGGTCAATTTCATGCCACAGAGATTTCAAGGTAGAGAAGTAAACCGAGACTAGTTTCTCTCATTGCTTAAGGTTGTTAACCTCACACTTCAATTCATTAGCCCTAGCAACATTAAGGGGTTGGGAGTAAGTTTCTTTCATGACATCCCAGATTTCCTTGGCTGTTTTTGCCCACAAATAGTTCCGGCTGATATGTGGCTGGATAGAGTTGCACAATCATGTCATTACCAAATAGTTCTCTTGAACCCATTTGGTATAAGTTTGGTCCTCCTTAGTTGGTTCTTTCACATCTCCCAACAAGTAGCTGAGCTTTCCTCTACCCCCAATGGCCATCATGGCCGATCGAGCCCATTCTAAGTAGTTTGATCCATCAAACTTCAGTTGTAATCTGAAAGGCATTCTCAGACATGTTACTAGAATTGCTAGTCCCAAAAACACCTTCCCCCTGATTCTTGAACTCCATTCTTGGTCAAGAATTAATAAAAAAACTTTTTTAAACTACTGTAATAGAAAAACAGCACCCAAACAACTGATAACAGCCGGCTTAGGTCTTCCAAAGAACAAAGAAAACAAAATTCTGTATGAAACCAGTTCAAAATCAGATCTGAAACCAACAACAGTTCTGAATTTTAGGGTTTCCTCTCAAAACCCTAAAGGAAAAACACAGATTTTCCAGCGGCACCTCTCAGAATAGACCAAGATGATTTTTTCAAAGTTATTCTCAAGGAAAAAACTTACTTTATGAAAGAATCTCTGGCCGCCACCTTCTGTCTGATGCGAAACCCTAATCTTAAGGATTCGAAGCCTTTTCTGATTCTTCCTGACTACTGGAACTCTCCCAGCCTTCTACAATCTTCTTAGTAGCAGCCGCACACTACCAGTAACCTCCAAGAATCAGCTGATCCTCCTTTGTTGAAAAACTTCTAATCCTAGGAGATTCTCATGTAGTCAATCTAATTAGGCTAACATAAGAGCTCCTAGGTCGGCTTTGATACCAAGTAGTCGATCAAGACTACAATCAGTCTTGAATTCAAAAGAAAAAGAATGAAGAAGAGAAGGAGAGAAGAGAAAAGGCACACAAAGAGATTTTGGAAAAGAGAGAGGGTTGGTCTTGACATCAGCCGACCCACTCTTAATATTTATATATGTTGACTAATTATAAAAGGGCTGAATTGCCCTTATTACTTACATGGCAAATAAACTAATAATAAAGCTGAAGCAACAAACTGAAATAACTACCAACTAACACTGACATAACTAACAGAAATATGCTGCCATACGAACACAGTGGGGACCATTATCAGTGGGGTCCACATCAGTGTTCTCTACAAAAACATGTACGATAGATGATAGAGAAATTTTTGATGGACAGGAATATTCTTTTGAAGAGTGGAATAGAGTGATCCATTAGTAATTCAAAATTTTTCTCTAACAGAAAAATGGAATAAATGGAAGAAATGTGGACAGATTTATGGGTAATGTTTATTGCTGCTTTAAGTCACAATATAATGAAATACATTGTTCAGTCACTCTATCTGCCATAGTTCTGTACTCTGCTTTGGCACCATATCTATCAACCACAGTTTGTTTTTTACTCCTCCATGTTATGAGGGTTTCCTCCTAATTTAGATGGAGTCTGAGATTTTTCAATTAGATTGGTAAAAGCCTACCAAGAGGATAAATGATCGGAAATTATGTCAAACTAATTATTTGTTGATTTGTTTTTATCTTTTTGGGGTATGGAGTCAACTGTTATTTTTCTTCCTTTTGATATTCCTTGGGTTTGTACTTCTTTCCTTGTTTGTATTGATATGCCATTTTTTGTTGCTGATCAAAAGCATACTGATTCAAAAGAGCAATTTTTCCAGCTAATGTTGTTCAATTATCTTTTTTTTTTGTTTTTTTTCTCTTTCTTACTTCAGACTGAAAATGAAGCAGATAGGAAGGATTGGGTTGATAAGATCACAGGAGTTATCGCAGCCCTACTAAATTCTCCTTTCATAGAGGAGGTACCAAAATTAAGCTTTACTATTTCTTGTATGCATGGAGGTTAATCACATTTTGATGTTCATGCAAACAATAAAAGGGCCATTTGTTAGCAGGTTCCTCTGGCACAAAAGGATCTAGAACGCAAGAGTGCTGTTAGTGCTGGTTATGATTCTCTAATACTGGATAGCCATGTTGGCTCAGAGGATGACATGAAAGTAAAAAAATTAGATGCAGTTTCCAGGGTTCTCAGAGAAATTTCAGGCAATGATCTTTGTGCAGAATGCTGTTCTCCTGAACCTGAGTGGGCATCACTGAATCTTGGTATTCTGCTTTGTATTGAATGCTCTGGTGTTCATCGGAATCTTGGAGTTCACATTTCAAAGGTCAATATGTAACTGAAATTTTGTACATATGTCTATTGCTGTTACCAAATATGTCAGCTTTTTCAGGAGAGATGGTTTGCCATTTTGATATCGATTAACATTTTGCCATGTAGAGTTGCAAAATTTTTCAAGATATTTGCTAATTTCACTAAGATATTTGGAAAATCTAAATATTGGGGAAAGTTTTCTAGAAACATAAGTTAGTTAATAAACCTTCGAGGGATCATTAGGAGAAATATAATTGCACATTTGAACCTCAAAAAACCATAGCAAAGAACTGTATAAATCAATAGGAAGCAATTAAGAGATTGTAATTCGTGTGTTTCTGTCTCCCTTATGGTCATTAGCCATCTTCTTTTCTATATATATGTCAATAACTTGCCATTTTAACTTTTGTCTTTATGTTACTATGTTTTGATTAGATTGAGAATATTCTTTGTAGTTATACACATTTTTCTTTTTCTTTTGAATTATAGTGACTTAGTAAGTGAATCCTATCAAAGTATTAAGTGGCTTAGTAAGTTAATCCTTTCTAAGTATTATGCCAATTATCCGATTACCAATTCCATGCTGGTTCTTTTAGGAAAGTATTTTGAAAAAAATTATGATAATTTTAATGAAATATTGAAAGTTTTTAATAATATTCTAAAATTTTAAACTCTAAATATATAGTCTATCAATGATATTTGAAATATTGCCAACATATCGGCAAAGTGAAAATCTATGATGCCAGAAAGACATGGTGCCGGAAGAGCTGTGACCAATCAAAGCCCATCCATGAATTTTGATAAATATCATCTAATTGGCTAATACATTTATGATATCTGTTGATTGGTTACAAGTTTTTTTGGATATGATGTCTTTCCGGTATCATACTAGAACCCATCGACAAAATATCATGGATATTTGAAAGAAATGATTCCCCGAAGATTTCTTGTCACTGCCTAGCAAATGGGGATATTTCGGGGACATTTCGCCAAATATCGTCGATATTGTGAACCATGCTCAGGATATTGTCTAATAGAGGGATGTTTATCTCGAGGAAGGTACTGTTTGTTCTGGTATATAGAAATCCTATTATGATTACTAGTTGTTAAGTTTATTTAAGAATAGCTGCAAACTAGGACAGCTGAATTGCATTGAGACACTGGGAGTACTGCAGTTGAAGCCCTATCATGGTCGTTTAGGTAGATTTTTATAATTAAACATAAAAAGAATGGGAAGAAAGAGGAGGGACCATGTGGAAGGAGGTATTGTGACCATCCTAAGTAAAACTCATTTGGCAAGAAAGTAAAATTTATCAATGCAAAACTAAACCAACTTTGCATTTGCATCAACCAGCATGTTTCCATTTGCACTCTTCCCAAATGGAACCTAATGGACATTTCACCTTGCAGAGATTAGGAAATCTTGGGGATATTTTGCTAGTTTCATAAAGATATTGGGAAAGTTAAAAAAAAATCAAGGAATTTTTTTAAAAACATGGAATTAATCAATAATCCTTTAAGGAAACATTAGAGAAAGTATCATTGATCATTAACACTCAAAAAACATAGCAACATATTGTTTAAATCAAATAAATGAAGATTAAGAGACTTGCTCTATCTCTCTTTTAATCTTTTTGCGTTCTTCTCTTCATTACATATCTCATGTACTTGCCATTTGGACTTTTGCCTTTCATGTTATTATATGTTTTGATTAGATTTAGAATCTTCTTTTGTTGTTGTGTTTTTTTTTATTCTTTTAAATTATAGTGACTTATTAAGTGAATTATATCAACAAATCTCTATTTGTTCTTTTGGGAAAATATTTTTAAAAAATTATGATAATTTTAATGACATACTATTGATCAAAAATAATTTTAATGACATACTTGAATGTAGAAATAACATTCTAAAATTTTAAACCTTAAACATATAGTCTATTAATGAAATCTGAAATATCAGCAAAATATCAAAGATATCAGGAAAAGAAGGTTCTTAGGAGTGGAGTGCAAAGTGCAAGAAGGTTTTGGGAGGAGCTAAAGACCTCCAGAGTGTAGGGCTTATTAGTACAGTTCAACTGGATGGTACCAACTAGCTAGAGTGGGTATATGAACTATGAGAATTGGCATACCCTAGTCATCCCTGTTGGAAACAGAAGTAGATGGTGGAAATGTTGTCTCTGAAGGAAATAATTCAAGGGTTGAATATATTATTAGATGTTTTGAGATTACATGGATTTGTAGGGGTTGTCAATGAAGTGGGTGTAAAGTTGGGCCAGGTTTGGTTTCTGAGAAGAACTTGGTTTTGGGGTTGGAGAGGATTAATGAGAAGTCAAGGATCTGAAGGATGTCATGAAAAATCATCTTGCAATAGAAGATTCAGAAGTCTGAGAAAACATCAAAATGTTCTTTGATCTAGTCTCAAAAGTTTTGGCCGGATTGAGGGTGGTCTATTTGGGATTGGGCCAAGCAAGAAGGTAGTGGTGTGATGTTTGTTTGAGGTTTTTGTATGGAAGTTGTCATCTGCTGGGATTCATTTCTAAGTTGCATTTGTGTGATGTTTGTTCGAGGTTTTTGTATGGAAGTTGTTTTTCTGTGGGTTGTTTTGGATGTGGTTCTATGGTCAGAGGGTTTGGGGTTTGGTGTTGTTTTTTCTTGTTTGGTTGGTTTTGGTTTGGAGTTGTATTTTGGGATTGTTTTGTTTGTTGTTTTGCCATTCCTCTTTCCCTTCTCTCCCTATTCTGTCTTCTTCCTCATTTACATGTCTGATTCCATGTTTTACATGGTGGAATATAGGTAATTATGGTTAAAGGATCAGTAGGGAGAGCTCGTGGTCCATTACATTCCTAGTAATATTTTTGTAGATTACCAATTTGGACTAATGTGACCTTTTTGCAGTATTACATGGGCTCCCCCTAAATGGGTGAAATGCCCATGTGGATTATTCTTGGGGTTTGGCACTCCACTGATTCTTGAGGGGATACTTCTACATATGGTTTTCTTTTCTTGTTACCTTTTTGTTATAGACAAATATATATTCTACATGTAAAGAACTTTATTTTTGTTTCCACCCAAAATGGGAGAAAGAATTCCATCTTCCTTGTAAAATGTCGTAGGTAACAAAGATATACTTTGAAATTTACTTGTACAATCTTTTATTGCTTTCTTTTTTGTAGTAAGTATACCATCTTATGTATTCTATTCTTTTTTATTTAATTGCATTTACTTTTGCTATAAAAAAAAGAACCAGTTTTCAGTGTGTCCCTGAAATGATATTTCTTTATCTAGCTAAGTCAAGCTCTCAAATGCACATTTCATTCTTGTTCTTATATCCATGATTATGCAGCATTGTGCTTTTGTCTAACAAGTGTCAAACTTCTTTAATTGTTTGTTATAGTATTTCATATATCTGGAAGGTACTTGAATTAATTTTTTCAATTATTTATATTACCCACCAGGATTCAAATCTCGGAAATAGCTTCTCTGTATTATCCACCAGGGTTCAAATCTTGGAAAAAGCCTCTTTGTATTACCCGCCAGGGTTCATATCTTGTATTACTCAAAGCTGGTTCTGGCTTTGAAGCAGGCTATGAGCAGAAAGGATTAGAGAAAGAAGAAGTTGATGGAGAAAAGAATTTACTCGGTCTCACCAGTTGATGCTATATATATAATATCCAACCACAAATAGAATGATAGGTCTGCTTTTATGAAGTGAAATAAAACATAAACAAATAAAAACAGAAATAAAAAGACATGAATAACCCTAATATCATGCCACCTAACTGCTGGAGTATATATGTCTTATTGCCTGAGCTTGTTGCTACCTGAATCAAACTCTTAGAAAACATATCAGCCGCCCTCTAATTTTTATGTTTTACAAGTGAGGTATAAATAACTTAACAAATTTCTCTCTCTTACAAAAAATCCACTTTTTTCCATGCTATCATGAGGTATTTCATTATTCATAATTTCATATCAGACATTTAGAGGCATGCATTATTCTACTGCTTTTCATTTAGAAATCTGACTGTGTTGTCAGTTATATACCTTATAATGAACTGGTATTGGATATTTCTGTATACTCATGGTTCACAATTTCAATATCAATCCACGTTTATCTATACAAAGATGAGAAGATTTGAAGGCATTTTATTAATTTTCTAAGATATTTAAAATGCTTAAGAAAATTAAGGAATATTAATGAAAACATTGAATTTCTCAATAAAACTTCATAGATTGTTAGAAGTCTAGTTTTACATTTAAGACTCAAACAACTACGAACTACTGTATTTATCAAATAAAAGATTGTTGGAATGTTTTGCTTCACCCCCTAGTGAAATGCGGAGATCTCAGGGATATTTTTCAAAATCTTGCCAACTATGAACCCTGCATACACTCGATTGAGCATAATATATACAAGCTTTTGTTCTGTAGGTTAGATCTATAACATTAGATCTATCAACTACAATTGATTTTACCTACTATTTTCCCATCAACTGCAGGTTAGATCTATAACATTAGATGTCAAGGTTTGGGAGCCCGTTGTCTTGGATTTGTTTCGTGCTTTGGGTAATGCTTACTGTAACTCGGTGTGGGAGGAATTGCTTCATGTTCCAAATGGAAGGTAATGCACTTGTGAAGATTCTCTTGTTAACAAGCTTCTTAAAACATAGAAGTAGCATTTGGGAAGAATGTTATTAAATAGCAGAACAAAATCCGGAAATTTTGACCTTGGTCTAGAATAATTTTTTTCATGGTGTTAGAGAGGCAATGGGCTTCCCTATGTTCTTTTTGTTATTGGATTGAATGATAACTTGTGTTGTGGTGCTGAAAATAAGGAAACTTTTAAGGTCTTTTTTGGAGGTAAGAAAATAACAGAAATTTTCCAAGGAAAAGTTTTGAGAGGAAAATCATGTCATTGAGAAGGGGGGATGACATGATATATTCTTGCACTCATATTGTTTCTCAATTTGAAGGTTTGGATTTTTCTAATGTCATCAGCAAGTGAGCAATTACAGTTTTGTTTATGAATTTCTTTTGCTTTTTTTTTTTTTTTCTTTCGGTGGGGGGGTGGAGAAGGGGGCATTGGAATGCCATTATATATGCTGTATATGAGCTGCTAAATCTATACTTCTACCTAGTTCTATTAGGTGATTTAACCACTTTTACATTTTTTCATTTAATGCAATACCTTGTAAAAAGAAGAGTAGAAAGTGTCCAACATCTGCATTTAGCAATCTTGTTAACACCCTATAAAAAGCAGGCTGAGAATTCACCTTACAGGTTTCATCATCCAACACTATATTCTATTGAGAAAGAGGGCTTAAGTAACAACTCATATCTCCTTATAATGAAATTCTCCAGCATACCTTCTATTGACAAGACATCTCATTGATTCATGAATTATACTAATGGTGCACATGGCAGTATAGCTTAGTCCCAAATTCCTAATACCAATAACACCTTGTTACCTCACAGGCACCCCAAATGGTGAAGTATTCTTAGGTTTCTGACACACCAAACCCTAGGATTCACAACCCATGGCCACAACTGTAAATGAATATTAAACTACACAAAATCTTCGTTTGTTGTTGGATTTTTTTTTTTCTGTAGAAATTTGTCATAAAATCTTTGAAGGATTTATTTTCTTGTTTGTTTGCAATATGGAAAATAAAGGTTCCACAAGGCAAAACTTCTAAGTGGATACTAGTAAAACAAAAGGCCCCTGCTAGAGGGGACCTACCAAAACATCCCTTTGTTAGAGTGGAGGGAGAGTGGAGACCTTTAGGTCAATGTGTTTTGACAAGTAATGGGAACCTCAAGTCTTTTTCCCTGAACTGACAAGTAATGGGACCTACCAAAACATCCCTCAAGTCCTCTTCTGTGGAAACTTCTGGAAAATTTTTTCCTGTTTTTTCTTCCAGGGAAACTCTACGATCCTGCAAAATGTTTTCTTATTCATCGATTTCCTTCAAAAAAATGGGAAAAGTTAGAAAACAAAAAATGTCACAGTCCTAGGTTATGACATGCCCTCCAAGTATCGGTATGGTGAGATACATGGTTTTCATGTCTTCTGGTAACGCTGTAAAAAGGTCTATGATTTATGACCCGACTGAATCCTTTTTCACCCCCACTTTTCCATCATAATTGAAGCTGTGAATAATTAATATAAGCTTTGAAAAGCTGAAGTGAATGGTGTGATATAGCAGTGACAGAACCATTGACTATTCCAGAAGTCCATATTTGATGGATGGTATGGTGTGGCAAGTCATCTTTCCAGTAGGACAGCAATGGGGTCTGTCATTCAATTAAGAACAGAAGAAGCTTAAATGATCAGTTTGGGAAACATTTTTCTATTATGTATGTGATTTATTCAAAACTCTCTGTAATTAATCATATATAATCTAATGCTAAGAAAAGTTAGATGACTCCTAGTTTAAAAATGCCTGGGAAGCCTATCACTTTGGCTATATATTAGGTAGTTGGGTATTGATTGAGCATCCATTTGGATGCTCTTCTATCAACTATATAGGTTTTCTATTTTTTTTTTTCCACTTGGTGGTCTTCCTATGTTGAGTCCATTTTTTTTTTAACAATATCATGCAGCAGCTGTGAATCAAATGACTACATCACTTCAATTACAAAACCTGGCCCCAAAGATGCTCTCTTGGAGAAAGAAAAATATATCCAGTCAAAGGTACATAGTTGAACCAATTAATTGCAACACTTTCTCTGTCTAATTTTATAGATATCATGCATTTTGATAAATGCCTATATTCTTTATGATATCATGAATCAAAAATCATGTATCATTATTTGCAATAAAACAATTTTATTTCAACTATTGTACCATAAAACTGGTAACATTTGTTTCATTGACTTGTATAATGATCAACTAATAAACCATGGATTTTTTGTTTAGGAAGGCATCTGTTATGAAACTGGTAGGGATTGCAAGTAGTTGTAAAAGTGGTTTGTAGATTTCTGTCTTTTAGTTTTCCTTTCTTTTTATGAATTTTGGCATTAGAATGTCATCTTTAATTTTTATAGTTGTTTGTGGGCATCACTCCTAGATAAGAGAAGTTTTTAATTTTTATAGTTTTTTTGAGGAGAGAATGCCAATAAAATACAAATACTTCTTTCCTACTGCTTGTGTTCTACTCTGTTGAATAGTCCCTTGATATATTTTCTATACCCACTTCCTCCCTTCCCAATGAATTTTCTGGTCTGCTTTTAGAGTTCATTCTGTTCACTAGGGATGTGGCCTCTCTAATACCGTATATATACTGCCAAAGCCTTGCTCAATCATTTAATATCCAACCCATACCACTTGTGGGTCTCCTTTGACTTCCATGTTTTTGTACCCTTTTGAATGACCTTGTCTTATAATTGAAGCAATGCTGGACTCAGCTCTATTTGAGTTTCATAGCCAATTGGGCCTGAGAATATAAGCTAGTTTTATTAAAGTGCTCATTAGTTACCAAAAAGTCAATTGAGCCCTGGATCAACTGCATCACTAACTAGTCAGCTGATATTCATGATACAGCAGCTTGGGATGACCAAGTATCAAGTAGGTCAATTAGTTGATTAATGCATTATTTTTCTTGTGTTTAATCTTCTTATTTAAGGCAATATGGTATATGTTTTCATTTTGTTTTATGTATGCTCTTGCTTTAAGTATATGTTTTCATTTCAATAGGGGGTAGGCTGACTTTAATTAAGGCTACACTTGCCAACCTACTTCCTTTCAGTGTTCAGGATTCCTCCAAGGGAGGCTAAGAAACTGGAGAAGAGAATGAGGGACTTTCTATGGGAACCGGGTGAGGTGAAAAAGGATCACTTGATCAGATGGGAGATAGTAAACAAACCAAAGGAAGAAGGGGGTTTAGGGATAGGGAACATAGTGCTAAAGAATGTAGCCCTTCTAGGGAAGTGGCTATGGAG